ATTCTGGGTCGAGAGTGAGGGCAAAGCGCGGGCAGCACAAGCGGGACAAGTCAGTACTTGACAAAATTAATCATGCACGAAGCGCATTGCAAGCCTTCCAAACGCGCGCCTCAATATCACCGCCTTTTGAAAGCTGGAGGAAGTCAGGCGGAGTAGACGGAATGGAATATTGGCTTCCGGAGGGGACCTGAGCCATGGCAGGCTCTCTCCGAGCACTTGACCACCGGCACTCGATGAGGCAACAGTGTCTGCAAATGATGCGAGCCAACAGGGTATAGCACAATGCCAGTCTTGCCGAAAGCGGAGACTGAACACGACCATGGTGAGGCAGATCTCTTGTAACGCTGTGGCAAATTTGCGCATAGTATAACAGCTACTAGTAGGTGTCTGTACGAGGCATAGAAGACCCACAAGACTCCATGAAAACTTTGATTAAGGAGATCTGATGGGATTTAGCCATCATGAGTGCTCTGATGTCCATCTGGTGGATTGCTTGGAATATTCCAAATCCTTTTCGCTCGTCCTTCTGTATTTTGCCTTGATTTTTGCTCTGTGATATTCGTAGTAGTCTGTGATACATAAATAAATGAATCTAATCTCAACAAAAAGGTGTGGCCACGGGAGAATGCGAATAATTAATACTGTCCTGTTTATCAAACGTGGTACACTACTAATAACAGTACGTGTAAACGGTGCGGAGCGTGCAGAGGAAATGCTATCGATACAGCGCTGCCTCTTCCTCTCCTCCACGGCAAACAAACTAAGGGGAACCCTTTTAACACTTGAGAAGAACGGTTTTAGTTATCGTTGCCGGTGAGCCCACCGGTCGCGCCGGTCGCGGCAATGCGGGCCAGCGCGTCGGCCAGGGTGTCGCACGCAATGGTCGTGCCGGGCTGGTTGAATCGCGGGAGCGCGACGCACTCGGTGCCCGTCGCGCACTGGGTGATCTCCCACTGGCCGCCGACGCACTGCGCGAAGCCGGGCGTGCCGTTCTGCGTAATGCACGCCATCGTGTCATCTGTGTCCGTTCCGCCGTCAGTTCTGCGCGCTCGGTAGCGAAAGAGGACGATTAGGAGAACGCACCGTTGCAGGGGTCGCTCGCCGAGATGTTTTGGAACTGAGCGTTGAGCATCTGCGCGTCCAGGCCGTTCTGCAGCTGGAAGTCACCCGAGCCCGTCGAGTTGCCGCTGCTGCTGCCGCTGGACGACGATGGTGGCGGTGCGGTGCTGCTCGTCGTCACAGGCTGTGGTGACGGCGTCGCAGTCGCAGTCGAAGCAGTGCTGCTGCCGCTGCCGCTGCCGCTGTCGCTCCCGTCCGTCGACACCGCGGACGCCGTTGCAGAGGACTCGTCACCAGTGGAGGACGCTGTGGCGGACGCTGTCGAAGCAGTGCTGCTGCCGCTGCCGCTGTCGCTCCCGTCCGTCGACACCGCGGACGCCGTTGCAGAGGACTCGTCACCAGTGGAGGACGCTGTGGCGGACGCTGTGGCGGAGGACTCGTCGCCGCCATCATTGTCGCTGCCGTCACTGTCACCACCGTCACCGTCGCCGTCGCCGCCGTCACCGTCACCGCCGTCACCGCTGTCACCGCCGTCACCGCCGTCACCGCTGTCACCACCGTCACCACCGTCACCGCTGTCACCACCGTCACCACCGTCACCGCCGTCACCGCTGTCACCACCGTCACCACCGTCACCGCTGTCACCGCCGTCACCACCGTCACCACCGTCACCGCTGTCACCGCTGTCACCGCCGTCACCGCCGTCACCGCTGTCACCACCGTCACCACCGTCACCGCTGTCACCACCGTCACCACCGTCACCGCCGTCACCGCTGTCACCACCGTCACCACCGTCACCGCTGTCACCGCCGTCACCACCGTCACCGCCGTTACCACCGTCACCGCCGTCACCGCCGTCACCGCCGTCACCGCCGTCACCAGTGAGCCCACCGGTCGCGCCGGTCGCGGCAATGCGGGCCAGCGCGTCGGCCAGGGTGTCGCACGCAATGGTCGTGCCGGGCTGGTTGAATCGCGGGAGCGCGACGCACTCGGTGCCCGTCGCGCACTGGGTGATCTCCCACTGGCCGCCGACGCACTGCGCGAAGCCGGGCGTGCCGTTCTGCGTAATGCACGCCATCGTGTCATCTGTGTCCGTTCCGCCGTCAGTTCTGCGCGCTCGGTAGCGAAAGGGGTCCGATTAGGAGAACGCACCGTAGCAGGGGTCGCTCGCCGAGATGTTTTGGAACTGGGCGTTGAGCATCTGCGCGTCCAGGCCGTTCTGCAGCTGGAAGTCACCCGAGCCCGTCGAGTTGCCGCTGCTGCTGCCGCTGGACGACGATGATGGCGGCGCCGCAGTCGAAGTCGAAGCAGCGCTGCTGCCGCTGTCGCTGTCGCTCACAGCCGTCGGGGCCGCGGATGCAGAGAGAGCAAAGAGGAGAAGGGATGCAACAAATTTCATGGTGGCAGAGACCAATAGAAGAAAATGTGGGACGAGTGCAACTCGTGTTGGAAGTGAGAAAAAAGAAACGAGAGGAGAGTGTAGTGTACACACTGGCTCGACCTGGCTTAAATACAGCGATGTGATTCGTGCCATGGAGCATGCAGTGCGCAAAACGCAACCGCTACATGGAACATGTCGGGGGAGGCGAGACAATGGCCTGTTCGTCGAATGAAATGTACAGGATCATTGGGCCGTTGGATTCCTTAACTTGATCAAGGGGCGGAGCGTGAGGCATAGCTCTCTGCGGAGATGTGGAGTTGAGCTGGGATGCTGCTCCCGGGAAAGACAGGTACTGTACGCTAGT